AGACATAGAAGAATTGGAAAGAATAACCTGTTTGAGAATAGCTTCTATGTCTTGAAGAGTGTAAGACGGATGCTGAGGCTCAGTAGTGACAGCCGCTGTAACAGAAGAAGTAGCAGTGGAGGAAGACCCATGATGTCGATAGAATGAACCTCTCGAACGGTGCGACCTGGCTGGACAATATGTAGCAATATGACCCCGAACATGGCAAATGTGGCACACCACCGTAGGACAAAATGGAGCAATATGACCCCGAACATGGCAAATGTGGCAGACCACCATAGAAGAATCCATATCCAAAAAATAAAGAAGCACCAGCAACCAGCAACAGTACCAAGTCGAAAGAAAAGTACGAACGGGATCACAAATCGGATAAAATAGCAGTAAAAGGCCAAAATTAAAAGTTCACCAAAACCAAATCCGAGCACACCACAAGGTAGCCGACGATGAGAGGAGTCGACGGCCGAAAAAACGACGGTGATCGGAGCAGGGGGTGGTCCTCACGCGCCTTCGGAAGCTGCCGGCGCTGTCGCACTGTTCCGGCGAGTGTGGGGCCCACGCGCGGAGTTACGGCCTGAAATTTTTGGCGAATGCTCGCCGTGAGACGCCGGAGGTGATGGTCTGGGAGGTGAGAATGAACGGTGGCCGGAGATGAACGAGAAAACACGAAACTTATATTGGACCCTAACCTAGTCTGATACCATGTAAGAAAGTGGGAAAAATATGTTCTGTATTATTCACAAAGACATATACACATATATATAATTACATAGAAGGCCTAAACCTAACTTATTGTACAAGAAACCATTTAACATAACTAACAATTTTAAAAGATGCGGTGATCAATTTGGATATACGATAAACTAATATGCGAAACATTATGCGTAAGAATTGTGTGGTGTATATGTATATGTGAATAAATAATATGCGTAAGTATTTCGCGTACTTGTTAACTATGCGGTATATTTGAAAATGCGAGTCGTAAATATGCGAATAAATATTGCATAATTATAATTATTTGTCTATCAATTTGGATATGCAATTACTTTTATGCGAAATAATTTCGCATATCAAAAATTATGCGGTGGATTTGGATATACAATTAACAAGAATGAGTATGTCTTTCGCATAATTATTAGCTATAAGTCCGAGTTGGTTATGCATTGGTATATATACGACAAAATCTCGCGTAACTGTTAGTTATGCAGTTGTAAAAAAAATAAGATTTTTTTGTGGGACAATGAGTAAAAGAAAGTGCATGTAGCTACTGTGGTGTAAAGGAAATGTTCCTTCGACATTTATACTTTTATACTTGTACTTGTAGATGGTCATTTATTATCACATTTTGTATGCCACAAAAAAAAAAAAAAAAAAAAAAAAAAAACAAACATGATGATTTAGTGTTTGAGCTTGACATGGAAATTTTATTTCATTTATGGGTAAGAAAGACTAATATTATGGAATGATGTGAATTAAGAAATAAGAATGATTAACAGAAAGAGTGAGAGGGCCTCAAGTCAAAACCATATGAGAGAAAAATAGTGACAATATGGTTTGAATGTGAAGATAGAATAAGAGAATATCATCCAATTATTTAGTGATTTTTTTTTCATTTTTTAAATTAGGCATTTTATATTGGTTTTGGTCCTAATTGACTGAATAGTTTGAGCTCATAATGCATAGTTTGCTTAATTTATTTTATTTTTAGTTGATATTATTTATTTCATTTAGGCCTACATTTGACGTCCTTTAAATGTTTCTGACTAAAGTTATTTTATTAACTTTATGAATCCACAATTATGTAACTATAAATTTTGAACGAATAAAAATGTCATAACATGTTACTTATTGTCAAATTTGTTATTATAGCACATATTTTTTTAAGAGAATGATGAGAATATACTATCGGTACTAAGTTGTTGCAATAGAAAAAGTTCAATACAACTTACTATCATGCATCAACTACTTGGTTTTTTTTTTTTTTAACAAAACGATAGAGATTATATTAACTCAAAACAAGAACAAAGTTATAATACAACGAGCCACACCCGAATATAAAAATGACAGGACACGCCTAAGGGGCATAGAACCCGACAATCAAAATACTAACTCAAACACCAAACCTCCACTGCCAAAAGGCCTAGAGATGAAGACTAACAACCAAAACACCCAAAAAATGAAAAAAAAAAAGAAGAAGAAGAAGAAGAAGAAGAAGAAGAAGAAGAAGACAATAAATAACAACTCTGCTTCAAAGGAACCCTGACTACAGACCAAATGCAAAATAAACAAAGCTAACCAAAAATCTCAGCTAAGACTGTGAGAATTCCAACCATTCTTGATGAGCCAGTTTGATCACTGTGTGAGCTGGAATTTATATCTTTTGAAAAATCCAGAGGTTACGACATTTCCATAACCACCAAAGCAAATAGGTAGTGAGCTGGATGCGTGCTTCAGCTAAATCAGAGGATCCTATTGAACAGATGTGGCTCCACCAGCTTTTGAATGAACCTGCAGATTTGAGCTCTTCCCAACTGACTGGTGATAAATCCCATACCTTAGTTGCTTTGGGACAATGGAAAAGAATATGTTCTATTGTTTTAGAACAATCTCCACATCCTTGGCAAATGATGTCCATATCCAGTCGCCTTCTAATCAAGATGGATTTCACAGGTAATGAACCATTGATGCATTTCCAGATAAACTGTTTGAGCTTACCAGGATTTTAAGTTTCCAAAATCTGAAGAGGGCAAGGTTGCTTTTGTGATTGCTGATACATAGAATATTCAGTTTAGAGAGTTTCAGTTTGGCCAAGAAAGAACAAGTGTTGGCTACATAAAACACACCCTTCTTATTAAATTTCCAGTATTTCCTGTCTGAGCAGCCTAGTTTAAGAGTGGAGATTTTGAGAATGGCCCTGCTGTCAGAATCATTGGAGACATCAACTACTTGTTTTGTTATCATGTATCATAGATGTTAGTTTTATCAAAATAAATTGTACTCTTGTATAATTTATAGAATACATTTTAATTGTCTTTTATTATATTTTACCGAAACTCTATTAATGTTTGCTTCTAAAAATTATATTAAATTTTATTTGCATGAATTACGTGCAAAAAATAAGTAATTTGTTATTGACATGAGCATTAACGATTATTGTACTTATTTGTAAGTCCACATAAAGTTGTCAATCTTGCACGTCATTCTTATCGCCACCAGACTTATTTTGGAAAGAATATACTATTGAAATTTGTTTTGACAATTAAAAAAAAAAAGTGGACCTAATTTGAAACAAAATGCATGTTGTTCGAAATTGAGTTATTTTGTACTTTTTTCTGAATTATTTAGTTCATATATTTTATTTTAATTGGATTATATTTGTACATGCTTATTTCAGTTGTTCTATATTAGTTTGTCTATATAACAATAATAATAATAGTAATAATTACAATAATAATAATAATAATAATAATAATAATAATAATAATAATAATGATATTTTTATTTATTCAGGAACGATGAAATTTATGTTATTATCGAGATGCTTTTAGGAAAAAGTTTCAACGAATGTCATTAATCTGACAAATACAATTTTTCGTCAAATATAACAAATAGTTTCGTAAGCTCAAACTTATTTACCATTATAATTTCTATGAAAAAAATATATCATATTTTGTAGACACAATTAGTTATATGTTGATTTTAGAGTCACGATCCTCACGGATCCACGTTGTTTGATCATTATTATGATAAATGATCATAATGAATACAATTTATCCACTGCTAATATTATATTCAGAGACATATTTTAAAATATTATAAATAAAATTTCATCCTACTTTGTAATATCTCTATACATGTATGAGTATTTATTTTATTTATTTAAAATCTATATATATATACATATAATTACTAGTTAATAACATTTAATAAAACCTATTTAATTTTACATATGTGGCAATTTAACTATTTCCCTCCAAAAACGTTACTTTTGATGTATTTAATATTTTATTTAATTATTAAATAATCAATACTAATCAATTCAAAATTACAAAATTCATTTTAAACTTTCCATTACTGACAGTTGATCATATAATGTGTTGACCGTATAATGTGATTAGAGTTATTATTATGGTTACATTTAAATTAATTTTTTTAAATCAATATATTTGAAATTCTTAAATAAATAATAAATAATTAAAAAAAAAGACGTACCAAAATATACATTACATCCAATCAGACAAACGCAATTTCTTTTAAAAAAATACTCCTTTAATTGTAAATTTGGTCGCCAAACAAGTGAAATAAAAATAATTAATCATTATACGCATATAAGTAACTCACGATATTTTATTTACATATTTGCAATACACATAATCTAATACTAGTTATAATTAATGTACATTATTTTTAGAATCAAGCCTTGGGCACACACCATATAAATAGGGGGTGTCTATATGTACACCCCCTCAAGTGTAAAAAAGGGGTGTACATATAGCACTTTTCTTTGTGTAATTTATTAAAAGGGGGTGTACATATAGCATTGCCCTGTAAATATTGTGTGAAATTTATTTTATTTATTAATCACTCAATTCACAATCTCTTCCCCATATTCTCTCCCACTTCATAACTAACACGCACTCAACTTCAAGAAATCTCTATTGACGGTTACTCAAAATCAATCAAGCAAGAAAAAAGCATGGATTCTCATCACTACAGCTCCATCAAGTTCTTCACCTTCTTTCTTCCGCTACTCTGCCTCCTCTATTGGAGCTGGCCGGCCCTCTCCACTCACGGCGCCACCGCCGCTCCACTACTTCCGCGGCCTTCCTCAACTCGCCTCGCCGCCGACACCCTCCGCGACCGAGGCTACACCATCTTCGCGTCCTTGCTCGACTCCATGTCCGTCACCACCAACTTCTCCAGCAACCTCCTTGCCCCACCGGATTTCGTCTTCTCATCCGCCGCCGCCAAATTCCTGAGCAACCGCCGCCCTCCGCCGCGCCCTTCCGTCTCCCTCCTTCTCTACCACACTATCAGGTCGCCTCTCATCCTCTCTTGGCCCTCCCTCTCCTCGCGCGACGACGGCGACAAGTTCCACACGCTAGACAGCGGCAACTGCCTCTATCTCTTCAGGAGTCCGTACGGCGGCGAGATATCGGTGTCTTCGACACCCTACAAAAACCCCATGGTCGCGGTCAAGATCCGCCAGCCAGATCTGTACGTCGACGAGCAACTAGCCGTCCATGGAATCGACGGCGTGCTGGACCAGTCGTTCGCAACGAAATGCAATTTCCCTTTTCCAGATCCGCTGGCTGAAGACGCCGTCCCGCGCCGGATGAATCGGCGGTTTCTAGACCGCGCCGTGAGAGCGCTGCGGCGAACGGGATACAACGTGGTCGCAGCCGCCATGGCCATCCGAAAGTCAGAGCTGTTATCTTTAACGTCCGTCACAGTCTTCGCGGTCTCGGACGAGAATCTGTTCCTGAAACCCGGCGGTTTCCGTTACAACTTCCGTCAGCACGTCGTGCCTGCACGACACCGTTTCGCGAATCTGGCGAGGATTACGACCGCGGGCGGGACGATCCTCGAAACTCTGTCTCCAAACAAAACTATTTTCGTAGATACCGTCGACGGCACCGTTAACGTTGACGGCGTAGCTGTGGACGAGACGGAGGTGTATCGTAACAAGTGGATAGTTGTGGTCTCCGTCATGAAGTCGTTAGACGACGTCGTCCTTGATTCTCAAATTAAACCACCGACTCCTTCGCCGGCACCATTTACCGGCGTCCCCGCGATTGACGGTTCCCCTAATCCGGTGCCGGAATTTAACAACGCCGAAGGCAGCTCTATCCGAACTCCACCATCTCCTTCTTTCGAGAACGATGCAGAAATCGGAAGTCCGTCGCGGGCGGCGGAGTACGGGAACGAAACCCACGTGGATGAATTAAAGCCGTCCGATGCATACACTGTAGATTTGACTCAACCTGCAAGGTCAAAATTGCTGAGAAATGTGAACATCGCTGATGACGTCTTCTTCTACATCTGATTTTCGCCACGTGGCGATCCATTTAGTTTTCTTAATTTTCTCTGGCAAATAAAATGCTTCAACCTTTCTTGTGGGCGAGGAGAGGAGAGGGATACTTTTTGTGTACAGAGATTGCTCTTCATTCCAAATGCAATTCAAATATCTTCTTTTTCGCTTAAGAATTTAAAGTTATGAATTGCAGGCGTTTAAGTACCAACACCAGAAATAAACAGTTTACATAAACATAAAACTAATTAGCTTCGTTCATAAAATTATGTTTTTGGTCTGGCTTTGGCCAAATGCAATGGATGTTTGATGTGATTACTCGCACTTGTTTCATACGCGCAAAAACTTTTTCGAGGTTATGTAATATGAAAAATATTATATTTAATTCAATAAATATGATGTGCTTTTGTTACAAAATACCTTGTGTTATGGGATACCATACTAGGTCGAACACGACCTAAAGAGTAGTCCGTCTGGCTCGGGTGGACCGACAAGTCAGTTAAGCATTAAGGACGTCAAAGGTCGTGGGAGCATCAGGTTTATTGTGACCTCATAGAGAAGTTGACCTGCCAGCAAGTCGGGCTAGAGCTCTCGACTAGCTTAGTAGAACTCGAGCTTGAGGCATGTAGGTCGTTGTACGACCTAATGAGACAGACTAATGCGAACACACGACATAGGAGAGGTGAATGAATATAATTAAAATAAGAAGAACACGTTGGTAGGACCACGTGGCTAAACAAAATCAGGCAGTTTGGGCACTCTGAAAGTATGAACTGGTTGTCGGTCATCGGGTAGCCAAGCCCAGGGATATAGGACAACAAGTTAACATTACTATATAAAAGGGTGAGTTAGGATTACTTACATTATAAACACTCTAAGATACGTACAAGCTATATACAATTCTTATTGTTCATCGTCTTCCTTATCATTATTCACTGACTTGAGCGTCAGAGCTTCTACGCCGGGACAACTCCACACGCTGTGTTGCAGGACTTTGAACTGGTTAAGAATGGATCTAGGTTAATCGATCCGTTTGAGGTCGTCTACACTACAATTTGAAGGCGTCTGTGAGAATTTTGTTCAAAATGCCATAAAAACACTATAACCATAGGGAATGAAGATTCCCTTAGAAATTTGGAGTCCATCTTTGACAAGACTTGAATCTCTGAACATCCATTAGGAGCAGGCCCACCGCCAAGTTTTTCGAGGTCAGTCCATACACCGGGGACCCCGATGAACTTTCAGGTCCAAGGGGCTCATCGACGACCTTAATAGCTACTGAAGGTCTGATCAACCAACTAGGGGTAGATCAGGCATGGAGGTAATCCCAGCACCCCCTGTGTAACCCAGTCCATTGCAGGCTGAGATGATGGGACCACTGGCCGACGGAGCTATGCCAACAGGCGAGCAGATGGTCACTCTTATGAGAGAGAACTCAACAAGATGATTGCAGAGGCCGTTGCCACCAGGAGTGCTCAATCGCTGTTGTTGAGTGTAGTAAACTCTACTGCGATGACAAGGAGGGATGAGGTCGATATTTCCAGCAACTCGGTCTTTGGAGCTCCGGGTGGCCTTGTAGTGGAGAGGATGACAACTTAGATTTGTGAATTGAGGCCAAAGTAAAGGAGAAACGAGTTGGGAGAGCTCGAGAGCACATATTTTCCTAAGAAATTTTGGACACTGATCTACCAACTGGGTCCAGAGAGATCAATATAAGTATGATGGTCCTCTGACTCGTCCCGACATTTGAGGAGCTTTAAGAACGTGTAAATTTTACATGGGTATACTGATACTGTGAGTTTCAGCGTATTTCTCGCGACCTTTATGGAAGAAGCTCAATACTGGTTCCACTAGCTCAATATGAAGTTTATTTTAATATTTTTTATTTTATTTTGTTATTTTTGTAGGTCTTGAATATTTAAAATATAAATTTATTATTTATTTTGTCTTTTTTTTTTTTTTTTCTGAAAAAAAAAAAACATAAAAAATGGATGGTGAGAACACAATGCCTCTCTGATCTGGGGAATTATAGAGGGTCCACTGAGACCTCTACAGTTCCACAACATACTTAACATTTATCACTGTGGATTCACTTATGGCTGGATTCCTCTACCTCCTTATTAATTGGTTTAAGTTTCTTACTACAATTGGAAGAGAATGGTTGGTACTGCCTATGGAAGGCCTTAACTTAGTTGATGTCAATTCCCATCCCTCTTTTGGTTTCTTTTAGAGTTCCTTGCTCACTTATTTTTTCTTCCTTTCTTGCTAATTTGCCTTCTTTTGCACCAACCCTTTTCCAGGTCCTCCTCTGCTGAGTTGTGTGTTCGGGAAGGAAATCTCTCTTCTCAAATCCCTCAATCACCTCTACCTCCATGATGCATCCACCTCCTCCTCTGATCACAGTAGAGTTGGTGTCACTTGGGAAATTAGGTTCTATTAAGGTTGTGGTTAGCTCCTCCCTTTCTCTCTTCCCTCTATACACTTGATAGATTAGGAAGATTCTGCCACACAAAGATTTCTTACCTTCTGACCCTTCTCATGTTCCCGTTGATTAGGATTTTCTTCTTCTTTGGTTTCAAACTCTTGAACCAGACTATTATTCATCCCCTTAGTTACCAAAGAGCTTGGCATAGTGTGTCTATTCTCATTTGGATTACTTTGAAAATGGTTGGTGGAGACTTTGATACTGAAGCAGTGACTCTGTAAGCCCCGAACTTTCCTTATTTTAGGAGCTCGACAATAGTTTTCGAAAATATAAATTTTATCTATTTTCGTGTTAATTGGTTAAGTGGTGCTTTGATTTGATTATTTTATTGCAGTTAGTATGATTAATGATTCATAAGTCTAAGCCATCGAGTAATCGTCCAAATTTTATTTCAGAAACGAAATATAAGTCTGAGTCTCGATTTATAAAAATTTAATCGAGTATTAGAAAAGTAGAAAATTTAATAAATTTTCGAGTCGAGCCAAGCATAAACCCAGTCCAATGTCATCCGAATATTTCAAATCCAAGATCGAAGTTTAAATCGAGCCCAAGTTTATTATCTTTTATATAGCCCAAGTTAAATGTTTTAGGCAATATATTTTTAAGTCCAAGTCAAGCCATGTTATTCTATCCTATTTTATTAAACCCAAGTAATTTTAGTCCAAGAGCCCAACATATATCATTCTCAACACTTTAATAGCCCAAGTATGTAGTCTTCATTTACTTTGTCCAACATTCTAATTCATATGGCCCAAGAATTTAATTTTTATAGCCCAACATAATTTAAAACATGTGGCCTAATAGCCCAAAATAAGATGTTACATTATTATTATATTCATTGCTTGGTGACTAATTTGGTGCACTAAATGCTCCCAACTACCCTCAACTAATCATCCTCATTCAAACCCTAATTTTCCACACCTCTATATATAGCCCCACTATTCATCCTCTTCATTCTTCTCCCAACAATAAAAATCCTACAAGCAAAATATATTTAAGTCCTAATATTTTAAGTGCAAGAACATCCAACCCTAGCCAAGGACACATAAATATCGAGCCTAGCACAAAACCGGCCCTCATGAACCAAGCCTAACCCTAGTCACCACAAGCTCGAGCCCTAGCTACGTCGGACGACGTCCAGGTTCGGTCCTAACTCCCACCTCTCGTCCTAGACCTCAGCCCATCCACCACCTTGAGCTCCCAGCTGCTCGTAGCCTGAGTCCCAAGCCGCACGCTGCAGCTTCCAGCGCACGTACACTGTCCCTGCGCCCAGCACCCCGGATTCTGTACACAGAAGCCAGCTCCCAGGCCGAACGCAAATCCCCAGTGTCAGATCCATGCTAGACCTGACTGATGAGGATGTGGTCATAGACCCTTCCGAGCCTTTAGACCAAGGAAGAAGGTGAGTGAACATACGGGACGGGTTGCAGGGTCATAGGAAAGGGACGCGGACGCGCATGAAATGGTGCGAGCAGGATGATCGCGCGAGAGGTGCAAAGAATGGCGAGGGGCGAGAGGTGCAGTCGGTACTTGGAGGCTAGCGTGTCGACCACACGCGGAGGGGGCAAGCACGCGAAATACGCGAAGGGCGAAAACACGGAGCATGCGAGAAGCGAGCACGCGCGAGGGACGGCGGGCGACGCGTGGGGCGCAGACGTGTGCGATACCGCGAGCGACGAGGAATAGCGCGCCGCCTCAGTACCAGCTCTGTGCTCCCTCTGTTCTCTGTGTTCTGAGTCAGTCTCCCCAGTTTCCCATATAGCCAGAACATTGCCCATCACCCAATCAAAAGACTCCCCGAGCGGCTTCTAGATGAAGTGCGACGCAAGCAAAGGCATCTACCTTAGCTTATTAGGACTTTTGTTTGGATATGGAAATATGAATAAAGGCATGCATGTGCCTAATTACTTATTTGGTAAGATTAGAATTTTAGATATCTAGTTTCCTTAGAGCATCTGAAGTAGGGAAGCGTACGAGTGGGACGATATTAATGAGATTGCAATCTCAAAGAACATCTAATTAATCACAATATCAAATCGTATTTTCATTCAATAATTCATAATCAACCACTGAATAACAAAGAAGATGGGTCTTTAAATAAGACACCCAAAACCCTAAAAGTTTTCTTGTCCACCAAGTCGCTAAATATTTAAATACTAAAATAATAATAATAATAATAATAATAATAATAATAATAATAATAATAATAATAATAATAATAATAATAATAATAATAATAATAAACTAGTCTACACCATTGATGATGAAGACGAGCTCGCGTTGGAGTTTCGGGACAAATATGATCGACTCTGCATTTGATTTGATTATTATTTGCTTTCCTTTTTATTTATTTCCTACTTATTTATCTATTATGAGTAGGGGTGAGCGTGGGTCGGTACGGTTCGGAGATTGATAAATCTCCAGAACCGTACCAAACTTCAAAGATCCCAAAATTTGATCTCCGAAACCGTACCAAAAAGTCGGTTCGGTTCGGTTCGGAGATTCTTATTTTTCGGTTCGGTTCGGTTCGGCATTCGGGACTATTGGGACGGTTCGGTTCGGTATGGTTTGGTTCGGATCTTCGGAGATTTTTTATTTTTTTAGATTATTTTTGAATGACTATCTAGTTATATTTTAATTTTTATATACTTTAAAAAACAATATTCATCAATAATTCATTATATTGAAGATTTTATTTTGAAATCAATTCTAGAAGTAACTCTAAATATTAGTTATTTAATTTTTATATGCTTTATAAAACTAACATTCATCAGTATTTTTTCACATTAAAGATTTTATTTTGAAATCAACTTTATAAGTAACTCTAAATTTTAGTTATAACTAAATTTGTGCAACTAATATTGAAAATTTGAAATTCAAATAAAATATGATATTTTTTTAAAAAAAAAAAATATTCTTCAAACTTTCATATTATTTTAAATAGTTATTTTATAATAGAAAAAATTCAATTGTAGATCAAGTATTACTAAGCATGAAATTTAAGTGAACGTTAATATTTATTACTATATTATATAGAATCAAAATTGACATATAATATATTAATAACACATATAATGTTATAATTCGGTTCTTAATTTCGGTTCTTCGGTTCGGTACAGAACGAGATGGTTCGGTTCGGTTCTCGCTACGGATATTTGTAAAATCTCCAGAACTGTACCAATTATTTTTTTGGTTCGGTTCGGTTCGGAGAAAGTCAAACGGTCAACGGTTATTTTTCGGTTCGGAGTGATTTCGGTTCAGTTTTCGGAACAGTTCGGAATTCTCCGAGTCCCATGCTCAGCCCTAATTAGGAGCAAGTAAATAAATAAATATCCTACAAGTATCTTGTAGATGTAGTACTCCTCTTTATTTATGTTTGGGATTGTAACAGAAGTCAGGAGCTTTGATTAAAGTTTATCCGATTTTAGTGAATTCACGAAAGAGTATCTCATTCTTTATCCCGTTTGTCACTCACGTTCTATATCAGTTGGTATCCAGAGACCAGCGACGATCCACAATGCCGCCAAAGAAAAACACCGTGCTCGACAACATCATTGAAGATCGATTTCAGAGAATGGATGATCGGATTCAAGGTATGGACGAGCAATTTACGGACCTGTCTGCGGGGGTCGACGAGATCTGACTGTCAATGAGGACCATGATGGACGAGGTGCTTACGAAACGCGACGCCGGCGACTGGGGCGCACGCGGAGGGTTTCGCGGTGGTCGTGGCTTTGGGGGGCGCCCCGCCGGCAATCACCACACCCACTGCCCGGCGAGTCTGATACCAATGAGACCCTTACCATCGACAATCCTTTTGCCGAAGACATTCTGAGACGTAGAGGGACTTACGACATTCCGCGCACCAAGGGGACGTGGCGAACGGCGCGGTGGTACAAAGCCTGACGGTGATGATTTTTACGACCGCGACAGCCTGCTTTGGGTGAACGACGAACAACATCGTCGCGATGGCGGGCTCGGTGGATGCAACTCACGAGTTTGCGGCATCACCAGGGGAAGCCAAAAATCTCCACTTGGATGCAGTTCCGTAAGTACGTAGAACGTGAATTTCTCCCTTTTAATTATGATCATGTGGTTTATCAACAGTTACACAATTTGGGGCAAGGCCCGCGTTCTGTTTCCGAGTATACGGAGGACTTTTATCGTCTCTTAACTCCTGTGGAGATACGTGAGTCGAAGGGACAGTTGGTTGCTCACTATGTGGGGGGTTTGAATATTGCTATACAAGATATGCTTAGTCTTGTGGTTCCAGAGTCGGTTTCGGATGCACAGCAACGGGCCCTCA